AGGGACTCTGCCTGCTCAGTTCATCCAGGGAACACAACTTGACCCCGGCCGTGTTTGTTTGTTCTTCATGCTTATATATCGGACTATTGTGACTCGCTCTGCGGTTAAAACAGACGGTGCATGAATGCGGTTTTGCGGTAAGTGAAATTCGAGTACTTTATTTATGTGTTTATGATTTTAATCAGCTACGTAATGAATGTGTTAGCGTGTAAGCGTGTGGTAGCTACATCGGTGCTAACGATGCTAATCGTAGCCTCCAAGTTAAAACCATAGACCGTATATATAAAGGTTAAAACGAAATAGACAAGTGTTAAGCGTTAAGTGGGATAATACTGTAGAACAAACGGCTTCTGTTTGAGGTTGATAAAATAAGGTCATCCTTGTAACTTAGAGAGATATGTTATTATGTAGGTAGTAACTGTATGCATCGCTAAGGTTAATTTAAATTGGCTATGCTCGAGTATGTAGACAAGCTAATGTCGAAGTAGTGTATGTGAAATCAACCTCACAATAAGATGTGTGTATATTACAATTATTAATGTCATATTTCAAGGTGATTACTTCGATATTACAATATGGTTGGTTGAGCTGGAGTTCATTATTGAGCTTACACGTTAACGTCACAGTCATCTGAAGAACGAACCCAAACCTTGTTGTTTTTATTAATTGCATTACCAAATTGGTATCAAATAAATAGTAAGCATTGGTAACACAACTTCCAAAGTTACAGTAAAATAAAAAGGACCCTGACTCGGGGAATACACAATCCAACATGTTCAACAGAAGAGAATAAGTTATATTGTTTGTACACATGGTACTTTACATATATATCTGTTTGTTTAAAGTGTCCAGGTGATGCAGACAGGCTGGACCAGAGAGTGAGAGACAGAACTGGACTCCTCACAGCAGTGAACTTCAGCACAGGTACAAATACTCTTTTTTCATACTGTACAAAGAATCAAGAAAGATATTGGTTTAAATAAATGAAGTATTGACTTTAATACACTGATATACATTCCATTAAACAATACTAAATACTAGATCACCTACACATCAGTGAAGTTGAGGGTTTTTCCATGCAAAAGGTAACATTTAGATGTTAACAAGCAATATGACTTTGTCAGCTTTCTAATTTAATGTATTGAAAGCAAAGCTATTTAACACATAGTGAGAACTGCTACTATTTATCTCTCAATATTGTCTGTAAAAAAACGTGGTAAAAGTGATTCTTTCAGTGAGACAACAGAGCAAGCTTCTACAGTTGCACTACGTTTTGATAACAGTTCAATATTATTTTGATAATAAAATATATTTCAATGTTGATGCATTTCATACTGTTCATTCATAATCTGATTGTCTTTGTAGCTCACTGTTAAAAAAAAACAAAAACATACAAAACATATAAAATAATTATATCTACAGCCCCTAAACACAAACACACCGCTTTCATAAATAACACAATAATAATATGTTTTATGTTTCCTGTAATTTTATGTTAGGAAAGGACATGCCTGAAAGACACGACTCAACATTTTCTCCTTCTCTGAGGGTCAAGAAGAACATCCAAGAGGAACATTAAAAGCTGACTTTATGAGATTTTAAGACCAGTACAGGACATTCACTAAGAAACTACTTTTATTGTGAAAACACAGTCAGCTGATCGAATGCACCTATTTCCACATCTACACTCCATCAGCTGATTAATTCTATTTGCCTCACTTTATGAGCTTCACAACATGTACCTTGTACCACAGAGTTTGCAACGCAAATAAATGGGGCCAATCTTCAGTCAGATGTGAATGTGTAATCTAACATTTTCAGTAAGAATAATGGACAAAAGGAGTGCAAATACAAATTCAATTTATTGAAATGTGAACCAAAAGTTAATCAAACATGTTTTAAATAAAAAAGCACATATGGACAGAAGGTGTAAACCTATTAAATGTATAAGTAAACACATTTAGTCAAATAAAGTGACAGACTAGGCCTGTGCAGTTGGTATCAGCTATGCCCAGCATGGGCTCCTCCATCAGACCTGGTCCTCCTCGCTGAGGAAAGACCCTCAGTCCTCTCCGGCCAAACCAACAGACAGGACGTCCATCACACGGAGGTTTCTCCCTGAAGTCTCTGCAGCTCTCTGGACACCACGCTGTCTCAATCCATCCACACTGAATATGAGAGGGGAAAATGAAAATAATAAATGCTTTAGACAATAAGAAATATAAAGTTGACTGTTGAGTTGCTCAGTTTTTTTAGATTGTCAATACTATTACTGTATAACTAATATCTCAGGTTAAGAGGCACATTCAAATAAAGATTGGTCTTTAAATACATTTTGTCTTTTGAATTGTTTGTCTAAAGTCAAGGATCTAGAACTGGTACTTATAGTTTTAATGGTACAGTCTGTTTATAATGCTGTTTGGAGGAAGCCTCACAGGTAAGAGCACTAACTAGCTACCATCACATGTACCTTAGCTTGACTTAAATGTATTAAACATATAATTAAGTGATAGCAAAATATAAATAACTAATGTCATGCAAACATATTAATAATTTGCTTGATTCCAGTGTTGCATTTAGCACATTGCATACAAACGTTAAGGGATTTTAAGATTCTGAAGTATTATGCTAAAAACTCAATAACTTAGATTATTATTTATAGTTTTGCTGAATAGTTTCATGTCCGCTTACCTTAGAAACGTAAAATGTGACGGCAGTGTGCAGATGGGGAGCATGTTAGCTTAGCTTCTTAGCTTGAGCTAGCTCTGTTACTTCCAGCTCGGAGGCAGCAGGTCCCGCCTCAGCTCCGCCTCTTTGCCCTTATTTGGAGCAGGCGGGAGTTAGACTCTGACGTCACTGTCGAGCCGTTAGTGGCCGACTCCGCCTACTAAGGGCTTCTCGGCAACTCTGCAGAATCCTATGGGTGACGTCACGGACCCTACGTCCATTTATATATACACAGTCTATGGTGCTACCTAGGGCACTCCTCCGTTTTGCTTATTTGTCTTGCTTAGTGTGCATGGGTGTTTTCTGTAATCTGTTGTGAACTGCTTTATTTCCCTAAATGATTTTGTCTTGATATATATATTTAAATGATCACATGTGTTACATAAACCTCCAGTTACATTTACGTAGTAACTAAAGAGCTCCAACTGGAGGTAATTCAATGTTATATGGTTGATAAAAGAGCATTAACTTCAAAACACCGTTCAGGGTCAGGGTCCGGATTGAATGATGATCAATAGTGTTTTAAATAAGGGTGAAAGGATTTATAGTAATCAAAAGGCTTCCGTGCTTCCCTTACCAGTATCACAGAAGTGATCATTTAAAACATTGTTGATCATCAGTTAAAACCTGTTAAGCCCTAGAGCCCCCTGTACAGGGGGCAGTGGGGTGTTTTTTCACGAAACTGTGTCTCAGGGCTTCTTAATATTTAAAAACCTATTAATGTGTCATACCCATTTAACGGGAAGAAACTCAGCTAACTGACTATACGAACCATTTTTACCGAAACAAAACACAAGTCTCACAAGAAGCGTCTAAATGAGCCCTGAGCGAAAAAATGCTAACACACTTACCACAGAACTCAAGGTAAAAATACCCTTATTACTTATCGTAACTGCAAAAACAAGATATCAAATTAAAGCTGAGATTCCACAGATTCTATAGGTATAAGTGTAATCACTGAGCGATCAGAACTCGTGACAGGGGAAGCAAACACAGACGTCACAACACGTGAATTACGGAACATTCACGGGAAATCATCTCAAATTAGCTGTTATTCTGATCAATAGTCGTGTTCAATGGCATTAAAATGATAAAAACGCCGCTGAAGGTTAATCCATAGGTTAATCCAATGTGTCTGTGTCACTTTGAAAGGATTACTGATAATCCATCATTGCATTTTTATGTAAAAAACGGAGATTTCATATTATTTTTATTTTTATAAATCTCTCTAAAGAGGTCAAATGTCACTTGTTTTGCATCAATCTTGATACCGGGTACTTATTATATGTTGTAGTTTGGATTCCTAAAGCTTTTAGTGTACTAACCCATCATCCAAGGGTGGTTTTCACTATAAGTAATGGGGTTTTTGTAGGCGGAGGTAAGAATTTACTTTTTTTTACAATGTTCCATCTGAATTTACTCTGACACAGAAACATCTATATTGATTCTGACACTTCTACTTCCACCACAGGTGTAACCTTGCTTTGAGAAAAAAGATTATTAATTGAACCCTTTTAGAAGTGAAGTTATAGTGATTTGTTCTGGACATGTCATTTTCGAGCCTGAAACCTGAAAAACAGGCTCAGGGCTTAACTGGTAACCCATGACCTCTGACCCTAACCTGCCTGCAGATGGAGTTTGTAAGGGTTACATCTGCATGTCTCCTTCCCTTAGTAATAACATGCATCAACAGATGATCTAAACAAGCATAACCGGTAATATGGACTGTGTTTTCACAAGGAAATAAATGTAAAAAAAACAGATCGAAGTTTCGAACGCAATTAGACACCGAGAAGGAATGAGGAAGCAGCGGGGGTTTAAAACTCTCCTATTCACTGTTGTGCAAATCATCATGACACAGACATATTGAAAAGGTAAGATCACAACATGATATCCAATGCAAATATAGAGCCAATTACGCTGCTTTGTGTCACTGCATTGCATGCTGTTAAAGTGTTAATAGCATGTTATTGTAAACTAGGGGTTCCTTGTAAAATCTTAGGCCCTTGATAGCAGCTCAACAAGCCTTGCCACTTTTCTTTTAATCTTAAGCATGTTTCAGAGGCCCAATCCAGCTCTCATTCCCTGAGGTGCCACAAAGGCTCGATTTCGTATATTTCATCTGTCTTCTTCAGCCTAAAGTCACTTCATGTACATTATAAGCCTATGAAAACACTAGTTAGCAAACACAAACACAGACACACACACAGACACACACACACACACACACACACACACACACACACACACACACACACACACACACACACACACACACACACACACACACACACACACACACACACACACACACACACACACACACACACACACACACACTCACACTAGTGTATGAAGAGTGTCCAAAAATCTAAAGCATTCGTGAATGGGAACCTTTATTGATTGTTCATTGTGTTATTATGAGGGGTGTGTACAAGGAAGCAACATTTTTCAAATAGATCCAATATCGAAAGGAATGAGGTTGCAATGAGGGTATAAAACTCACTCAGATTCACTCTCCAGAACATCCTGACATAGACTTAAAGGTAAGATCATAACATGATATCTAATGCAATATGCAGCACATTTGTATTTTACAGAAGAGTATGCAAGTTAATAGCAGCACAATAGAATTTGATTTTGTGCATGTGAACGACCATTTTCTGTCATCTCTTTTTATTTCTATCAGATGGAATTTGTGCTTCTCCTGCTGATGGTGACGGCATGTGCTGCAATAACTCAAGGTAAAATAAAATATACATTATTTATTTAATAGAGACAACATATCTAGAGGTATTACCTAAGGGAATTTCAAAGTGAAGCACATACTGTACACAGTATATTTTAAAGTAGTAGTCTGAAACAATTATATTTTTGCAAAACGGGAAGAAACGGGAAATTCATGTTTAAGTGTTTGAACCTTATTGGAGGATTTTGTTCAACTCATCTGAACTTTTTTGGAAAGATGCAATCAAGGAGTGTAGTTTGTATGTGTGTGTGTGTGTGTGTGTGTGTGTGTGTGTGTGTGTGTGTGTGTGTGTGTGTGTGTGTGTGTGTGTGTGTGTGTGTGTGTGTGTGTGCGTGCGTGTGCGTGTGCGTGTGTAAACATACTGTAAGTTACATTAACCTTAAAACCTTTTATAATATTCCAACTGGACATTGGGGTTGTTACCACACAAAACTTGTTTTTCAAACAGTAGGCCATTTATTAGGTCACTACAGCATGTGCGCAATAATGTATTTCTGTATTGTAAAACTTTCACAAACATTTAACTTTTATTTTTTGTTTTTGTAGATCTCTCCGGTAAAATGTTTACCTTCCCTCAGGAAAGCAACACAGCTTATGTGAAACTGACACCAAAAAGAGTGGATTTCGGAGCTATAACTGTCTGTCTCAGGTAGTGTGCAAAGTGCAAAGCCAATGAACATATCTATATAGAGTATAACTAAAAATGAATGTATTCCATTTTTCTTTTTTTATTCTTGCTGGACCATTACAGACCTCAACAGGAACCACGCCCTTTTCTCTCTGTCTGCAACACCCTCTGATAATGCTTTTCTCATCTTCAAGCCTACTGCTGATGGGATTCTAATCTATGTTCATAATAAACCGGAAACATTAGGGGGAGAGGACTACAAAGTGAACACGTGGCACTCAATATGTTCTACATGGGACTCTGTGACCGGTGTGGCACAGCTGTGGCTAGACAACAAGCCCTTCATTAGGAAATATGTTGGTGGAGCAAGAATCAGAAATCCTGTTATTATCATTGGACAGGTAAGTTTAATTTGTAAGTAAAATAGTTGATAGAATTCCAGAAATGTCTCTTGATTGGTTAAATTCTGATTCATTTATTCTGTGAAGTATTGCTTGTAAAACAAAACATTTACTGCATGGAAATATTTTGTTCACAGCTCACTACAGAAGCACTTTCTATCAAAGCTGTTATCTTATCAGTCTGATCATTTTACAGGAGCAGGATTCCCATGGTGGAGGATTTGACAAAACACAGTCTTTTGTTGGCATGATCTCTGATGTCCACATGTGGGACTACACCTTCTCCGCCTGTGAGATCCAGGAGTACATGCTTGACAGAAACCTAACTCCGGGTAATGTGCTCAATTGGAAGGCGCTGGACTACAGAACCTACGGGAGAGTGCTGACAGAACAAAAAACCACTTGCTCATGTACAGAATAAATACAAACAAATATATAAATGTCATACTCCTTACGAGGCTTTTTCTTTTGAGTATGAAATTCAAACACCCTGTAAACCTGAACAGTGGCATTAATCAGCTTGATCAACACAATTACCTCATTTCTGACCACCATCTTAAATGTGTGTGTTTAATTTTTCTTATTAAATCTGCAAATTGTTATTTGTAATTAGATGACATTTGTGATATATCCTTTTGTCTGCCATGTTTGCTGCAACTTGTATGATGCTCTTCCTGACAGTTCATTAAAAATGGCACATTCTGCAGTCCTGTTTCCTGTCCGTCATTCTGACATAAATCATTTAATAATCTTTGCATTTATTGTATAGTTTTGACATTTTATTATTATATCATGGTCTTACCAGAATCAATGTTAATACAAAAGTTCAAGGCCTAGACCTTAAAGGTAGGGTAGGTAAGTTTGAGAAACCGGCTCGAGATCTTTAGAATTTGAAAATACACAACCGGAGAAAAACTGCCACTTCCTTACAGAGCCCCTCCTCCAACACACACGAACGCGCACATGACCGATGAGGGCATGAGATAAGTTTGTGCACAGATGGAAGGCTGACAGGCAGGTAGGCCATCCAGTTATTTTAGCCGGGCCGGTGAAAATGATTCGTCGTACTTTTTACAGTACTACGGCTTCCACAGATGACATTTCTTTATGGATGTTTTGTCAAAGCACTTAAGATATTCATTACTATCGGGATGTTAAGAGCATTCCATGGAATATAACACAAAGTGTATCTCGAGCCGGTTTCTCAAACTTACCTACCCCACCTTTAAGAGAATGGCTTGTGACTACAACTATTACGTCTATATATTGATCCTTATTTTGTGGGTTTTTCACCCAGCATTTTATAACTCCATTACATTTTTGTTCACAAGCCTTTTTCAAAAAACACATGTTTAAATGGATTTAGGAACTCCCCCTCGATTCTATTGGCTCTAACGGTTCAAAAGTGGTGTCAATCATCAAAATCAACCGATGGGTTCCAGAGATATGGCAAATCCACCCAAATGACCCCAGAAGTGGGTTTTTTTCCCCTCTCTGAAAAAGTCATAATTCACTTGTTTTGGATCAATCTTGATACAGGGTACTTATTATATGTTATTGTTTGGATTCTTAAAGCTTTTAGTCTACTATCCCATCATTCAAGGGTGGTTTTCACTATAAGTAATGGTTTTTTTTGGGACGGAAACTATCATTTACAAACCGGCAGACAGTAGGCAAAGGGCTAGTCGGGGACAGGCGAGGGTTCCAGGAGTAGGCAAGACGGGAGACGCAGTTACCGGCAGGGTCAGGGAGCAGGCGAGGCAGAATAGTCCGGGTACAGGCAGGGTCAGGAAACAGAGAGAGAAACAGGGTGTGACTACCAGGTGACTAAGGTGGCTGAGAAATGCTAATGCAGAAAATAGGTGAGTGAGGGAGCAGACTGTGACATTTAGCATTGCTTTCAGAAGAAATATTATTAATTTACCCCTTTTGGAAGTTTAATTTATAAGTAAAATAGTTGATAGAATTCCAGAAATGTCTCTTGATTGGTTAAATTCTGATTCATTTATTCTGTGAGGTACTGATTGTAAAACAAAACATTTACTGCATGGAAATATTTTGTTCACAGCTCACTACAGAAGCACTTTCTATCAAAGCTGTTATCTTATCAGTCTGATAATTTTGCAGGAGCAGGATGCCCATGGTGGAGGATTTGACAAAACACAGTCTTTTGTTGGCATGATGTCTGATGTCCACATGTGGGACTACACCCTCTCCGCCTGTGAGATCCAGAACTACGTGGATGAACTAAGCTTCACTCATGGGAATGTGCTCAACTGGAGCGCGCTGGATTTCCAGATCACCGGAAGAGTGCTGACAGAAGATAAACAAACGACCTGTCACTAAACTTGTAAAATTTGAAAAAGTGAATGCTTTCATTTCTGATTAAACCTAATGATGTCAGCATGTTAAAGAGTTTTTGATGGTTCAGATCAATTGTTTCCTGCCTGTGCTAGACTGAGCAAAACATTACTCCAAGGTTCAGCTCAGCCTACAACAAGGTCTGTGTAGGCTAGAGTTACCCGAACCATGTTTCTTTTGACACCATATTTTTCAATAAATGTGTTCTACAAAAGTTTTGCTTCAATTCCAGTGTAGAGATAATGAATGTTTATTCTGACCCCCAGCAACACATATAGGGCTCAAGGAAGAAATGAACCCAAATGCACAAATTATAAGCAAGTTAAAGTAAAAGGTATGTTTACTTTGTCGTTGAACACTTAAGTGCTTTGTCACAGGAAAATAAAAGGACATGGTCATGAGAAATATGTTTGATGAGGATGTAACAGGAAGAATGTGGTTTGGAGGTCACGTGACACGCAAGACTGGAAGAAAACCAGCAGATTGGCAACTGTGATTAAAAAGTTACAAATAAACTGACATGCTTGTGTTAAGACTTAAAAAGACTACAAACCGATTACGTATGTCTTTCAACAATGAACATTTCAAAAGGCCATATTGATTTATCTCAAATATCATATATTCAGAAGTGTATTACAAGGTGCAGAGAAACAGTTCTCAATTGAACGTCAATCTGCCATTGAGTTTTCTTGCTAACTTTTCTTGCTAAATGACCACATGTGTACAATGCTTGTGGTGATATTCAGACAGAGAGTAATCACGGCATCTTTACGCAGACATTTAAACAAACTACCACTTGGCCCACAGCACATGTTTTGTAAAGTTCAGTGTTACTCCCCACTACTACTTATTTCGGTTTTTAAAATAAAGGCAGAGATGCTGCTCCAAGACTGCTGTGCAGGGCCGGCCCTAGACTTTTGGGGGCCCTAAGCGAGCTTTGGCTTGGGGGCCCCCCTCACTCTAGCACGTTCTCACTTCACACAACACAGAACCAACTTTTGTCTTATGATGTTAGCATAAGCACACATATTGTATAAATAAGCATGTAAACACCGTGGACCTAACATCCTCTAGGGGGGTCCTCACCTCCTCTAGGGGGGTCCGGGGGCATGCTCCCCCGGGAAGATTTTTTTTTAAATATTGAAGTTAAAAGCATCAATCTGGTGCACTTTGAGAGCAACATTAAGAGATCTATGGATACATCTCTCAACACCCATATGAAACAGAACTGTAAACAGATTTTTCTTTATGGATATTTTACAAATCACTCCCCTTTTAAACTGTATTCTTGTTTTGTCATATAGTATTTCATAACTGTTTTTCATTTATTTTCTCTGGCTGTCCATCTCATAATGTTCACATAAAAACAAAAAGAGTTTGCACATTTAAATTCAGGTGTTGTTATGGCAACGTCAGTGGCCAAACAGCCACATTACTGCTGCAAATACGTTCAAACATGCTGTCGACACGTAAAGCAGTGGCAACTATGCCACCATTTCAGCTGACTTTTTCTCAGAAATACTGTCACATAACATCCATATGTTTCAGTGCTAGGTTGATGCTTAGCTAAGCTAACTATGAAACACTTTAACTGACAGGACTCAGGATCAACTGTGTACTGTAAGGTAGCTTCTAGCTTCATGTCGAACAGTAAGTCAACATTTCCCAGAGAGCGTTCTTTGAAATCACCAGGTAACGCTAAAAAACATTACATTTAGATTGTATGACAAAGCGTTTATTTAATATATCTGGCTAGCTATAGCTACTTGCTAACGGTTTAGCTTACCCCCGCGATTCAAAGTAACGTCAACGCAGCTGTAATTTCTCCTGGCTCAAGTGCTGGCTCTGGGGTTGTTGTGTGAACCACCACTTGAGAATTGTCGTCTTTTTTAAGAACAAATGTTCTTATGTCCATCTTCAAAAACTCTGAGTCCGACTGACAGTTTATTTTAAACATTGTCACAGCTCACAGGATAGGTACCTGTCAGCCAGACAGATGTTTATTTCCATTCAACTCTCTGGTTGGTCTGGTGTCTTGCCTCTGTTGCATTCACTGAACACGGGAAATGACAATCCTGCCGTCCTCTCTAGTGTCATGATGAGGTTCAGGTAAAGCACGGTTAATGTATTATATGATTGACTCAATAATATATATATATTTTTTCAATTTTTGCTAGGGGGCCCTTAGTGGCTGCGGGGCCCTAAGCGGCCGCTTATGTCGCTTAATGGGTCGGGCCGGCTCTGCTGCTGTGTATAATACCCTGACAACTTCACATAGAGATAATATTGTGCTGTGGAGCTGTCAGCTTGTTTGAAAGGTCATTTGCTGGCCAACAAGTGATAAATAAAGCTTGAATTAAAATAGTTTTTTTTTTAAATGTTATAATAGTATAAACATGTTCATTCAATCAGACAGCAATACCTTGTAGTAACTCCCTTATATGTAATAGGCCTTTACTAAAATCCTACATTTCCTCTGTGTTTTATCAGTTCTCCCAGTTCTTTGTTAGTAAATCAAACACACTCTCCCATGGACTTCTGATTGTTCATGCAAGTTATTCTATGCAGAGAGATATCGGCAGTCTCTCAGTTTGTGAAACTGCTAATCTGTCCCATGGTTCTTGAGAAGAAACCGACAGAGATTGAGCCTTTCTGTACCTCTTCAAATCATTAGCAGAAGTAAAACAACAACCATTTCCTCATCAAATTAGGATGCCCATTAGCTGTTGTAATGAATACACTACTTTTGATTCTCCTGTTGAATCAATTTAGTATTTTGTTCTGCATATGAACTCTAAAGAGTCTCTTGTGTTAAAGGTGGGGTATGTAATTTTGAAGAAACCAGCTCGAGTACACTATCATTTGAAAATACACAGCTGGAAAAGATCTGCCACTTCCTTACAGAGCCCCTCCTCCAACACACACGAACGCGCACATGACCGATGAGGGCACGAGATAAGTTTGTGCACAGATGGAAGGCTGACAGGCAGGTAGGCAATCCAGTTATTTTAGCCGGGCCGGCTAAAATGATTGGTCGTGCTTTTTACAGTATTACGGCTTCCACAGATGACATTTTGTTATGGATTTTTTGTCAAAGCACTTAAGATATTCATTGCTATCGGGATGTTAAGAGCATTCCATGGAATATAACAAAAAGTGTATCTCGAGCCGGTTTCTCAAACTTACCTACCCTACCTTTAAACTAGGAGGTTCCTGATGAAATGTAGGGCAACAATTATCACAGTGTGCAATTAACGTGTAGTTAATTCCTCTGCAGTTGACTGCTGTTTCTCTACATGAATTGGAAACTTTTATCAGTAATTTACCCATCTAAATTGATTAAAACTGACACATACAATATGTATACCACTCCACAAGAGTCACAAGAAATTAAATAATAATAGTTATAGCTGGAAATAATTGGTTTTCTGCTTGTCCATGTGTCTTTGTAATTAAATGCATGAATACTCTTGGCTTAGGAGTGGGAGTAGTGAGAGCTTTGCATGTATTTACTCATAAACTGAAGTATAATGACAATATACAAATACTTTAAAAAACAATACTCTTAAAGAAAATAAAAAAGTATTACAAAAAAAAATGTTAGGAACAAAACTCAACTTTATAGCAAATACAAATATAAAATGAATGCAAAAATAAACTGAGACTAGAGACATAGAGACTAAGTCAATAATGTTAATGTTAACTATAATGTTAACTCACGTAAAATATACTGAATCACAATTGACATTGACAGTAAACTATTTTAGGGCATGTCAAGTAAATAATCGCTAAAAGTTTACAGAAGGTGCAGAATTATCCTTAAACAGAATGAAATGCACATTGATTATACGGTATGTGTAATATATTAATATATGAATAATGTACACTATAAAGATCATTGAGTCTGTCCTTGTTGTACTATAAAGTGAGAGAAGGCGTTACTGTCAGTAGAGTCCTCTGTTGTTGGAGTTTAAAGATTATAAATCATGTTGCTTGGACTTTTTATGACTATTTATGTAATTTCACTCAACCACAAATATAAACCTGTTTGACGCTACAGGAACAAAGCCAGCAGGTCATCAAAGTTATGGGATATAATGTCTCAACACCATGAATATGTGTACACATTTTCATGGCTGTGTTCTTCACTGTTTTTTCTTCTCTTGTTTGTTTTTGATTTGTAGTTGTGACTAAGCAGCTCAAAGTCTATTTTGACAAGTATAATATGCCGTATGAACACCATGAATTGCCTACAAGGAAGCATAAAAGAAAAAAACATGAAGATAACAACGAGAATAAGGAAGAAGCACTCATAAAAGCTAATGAAATAGGTGAGAAAGATTATAGAATAGCAAAAAAGGTTACGTTCAACAACTGAACAACTAAAATAAATTGATTAACACAAATTGAGACGAGAGAGAAAGTCAATATCGCAAAAGTTTTACAAAAATGTCCAGTTATCCTTAAACAGAATGAAATGTACATTTATTATATGTGTATTATATTAAAATGAAATAATGTACACAATACGATTTGTATTAGAGATATGATATGCTAATACATATATGTAGTCCATGTGAGCATTCTGTCATCGTTGTACTATAAAGTGAGATAAGGTGTTTATTTTCATGGCTGTGTTCTTTACTGTCTTGTCTTCTCTTGTTTGTTTTTGATTTTAGGTTGTGATTAAGCGGTTCAAAGTCTATTTTTTTAGTATAATATGCCTTATGAACACCATAAATTACTAACAAGGAAGGATGAAAGAAAAAACATGAAATTAACAACCACCATAAGGAAGCAGACAAAAGTATAAAACTCACAAGTCAGTACGGTGTTGCACAAATCACTCTGACACAGGATTCAAGGTAAGATCAAAGCATGACAAACAATGCAAAATAGAGAATTTAAACATTATTGAATTATCATTATTATTGCATTAAGTTTCAGCATGTTGTTTTGTTTGTCTTTGTCTTAGATGGCGTTGTATCTTCTACTGCTGATGCTCACAGCCTGTGCTGCCACTCCTCAAGGTGAACATTTCATCTTCATTTAAAAAAGAGAAAACCAAAGTAAAACATCACAAGAAAGATACATGCGAGTGGATCTTGAGTACAGGAGTTTGTTATATTTAGACTTTTTGTTACTTACTTTTTGGGTATGTACAACATATTTAATCTAATTGACTAGGATTAATCAAATATAAGATTTATATGAATAGCAACAATTAGGCAACATATATCAATCATATGAGTAAGTTACCAGTAGGTCAATAGGAATACATCTAATGCGTTTGTCATTAAAAAAACAACACAAATTCAACATTACTCAAGTGATTTGATTGTTGGCTTCAACTTCACTAAACATCTTTTTATGAAACATTCAGATCCAATTTGTCAACTGAATGTCTTTTTGCTGATCCTACTTTCATATACTGATTTTAAATATCTCTCTTTTATAAAGATCTGTCAGGTCAAATGTTTACCTTCCCGCAAGAAACTAACTCAGCTCATGTGAGGCTGACAACATCAAGAACGGTTCTGAGTGCTGTAACCGTCTGTTTCAGGTAGTGTTCAATATGAAATGACAACGAAAGGAACATACTGTGTCTCTGATGGGAATCATCATGTGTGATAATGTCTTTGTTTTGCCTACAGGTCCTTTTCAGATCTCCGTAGAGACATCACCCTTTTCTCTTTGTCCACACCTTCCGCTGACAATGATTTTGGGATATATAAGCTAGCTGCAACTGATGAGTTTGAAATGTGGATCAGGAATACAAAAATGGACTTCATAGGGCAGGACTACAAACTGAATACTTGGCACTCACTTTGTTCCACCTGGGACTCTGGATCTGGACTGTTTCAGATGTGGTTAGACGGACAGCCCTCATCTAGGAGATTCATGAGCGCTGGATCCAGCATCAGTGGGCCCATTATAATTGTTTTAGGCCAGGTAAAGTTTAAAGCACAGGAATGTTTCTGCATTATGGGAAATGTGCTGACTAGCTTTTTTTGCATAGAGTTATATAAGAGGAATAACACCATAGTCATACAATAGGTTAATAAAGCTTTTCTCATCCAACTCGAAGGTCAGCAAATACATTCCCACAAATGTCAACTCATCCCTATCTTGTGATGTGTTGTATCTGTTTAAACTATACAGTAAATCATAAAAACCTAGCATTGCAGAACAAAGCTGTTGGCTCACATTTTTTTTCATTTCACAGGACCAGGATTCCCATGGTGGAGGGTTTGACATTGCTCAGTCTTTTGTTGGCATGATGTCTGATGTCCACATGTGGGACCACGTCCTCTCCCCCTGCGAGATCCAGAACTACGTGCATCATCTACACTTCCCCCCAGGGAACGTGCTCAACTGGAACGAGCTGGAGTTCCAGATCATCGGAAGAGTGCTGATAGAAGACAAACAAAAGGTCGAGACCTGCTATTAAACCTTATGCATAGAAAGTCAATAAACAATATGAAAATACATTCACTTAAGAGAGAATAACATCAATGCATTCAAATGAACTTTGAATACATAAAACAAAGGTTTATCGATCGTCACCAAATGATTTTATATCAGGCATTATTCATATGTTTATAGTACAGTTGTAGAGTTGTTTTGTGTTTAATAATTATAATAATAATAATATACCTGTACTACCAAAGCTTAACAAAACAATGTCAGGAAAATATGAGTTTTATAAACACCACAGATTATCTAAACTAAATGTCTATGTACGTCGTTTGCATAGGTAAGACTTTATAACTCTTTGACCATTTTTAAGCTTATTGTTTGATTTTTTTAACTATCTTTAGTTGTTCGAAAATCTTAAGAATCGGATGGAGTTATTACAACCATATAAGTGTGTTTTTGTATGCCATAAAAATAATATATAGTGTCACCTGTTTATGTGGGTGCAGGGTTGCTTTGCTGTTTTAAAATAAACATGAGGAATTTCAACAACACTGTTTTATAACTTTTCTGTGGTACATCTACATTCTTTGACCGGGAAATGTTGGAATATGTACCTAATCTAACACACACACACACACACACACACACACACACACACACACACACACACACACACACACACACACACACACACACACACACACACACACACACACACACACACACACACACACACACACACACACACACACACACACACACACACATCAGTGTCAGCAAGGTAATGACTTTCACTGGGTATAGAAGCAACGGTGTCTTCCTCCCTTTTCAAAGTCATATTTATGTCGGCCTCACTTTTGTTCTTTCAAGGAGATTTTCCTAAATGTGTTCTTGAATTTTTTCATAAAGGGGACCAATTATGCAAAATCCACTTTTTCATGTCTTTTATACACAAACATGCGTCCCCTCTGTGTAAAGAGATTCTGAAAGTTTCAGGAAAGAAGATTAGCTCTCTTTTTGTCCTGATCCATTTATATAAAAACCTGTCTGAAAATGAGCTGATTAGATTTTGGCCAATTTATGATGTCATAACGATGTTTTGGCTTGTGTAACCATTAGCCAATAACCAACCAAGGTAACCCCCGCCCACCTTATCACCTGAATCTCCTCCTAGAGCACTATTGTGTTCTTTTTTACCAAATATCTCTCAGAGGGGCGTGGGGAGTGGCTCCTTATTTTCATCTGAAGTAATAGACAGAGAATCAGCACTTTTGAAACAGGACTGAAACAGAGGGGATTATGGGATGCTACAATGCATGATCTGTTTGGTGTTTGGAGCCAAACACCTCAGAGACAGGTTTGTATATATCTGAGAGCTATAATATATTGATGAAAAACAGTATAATAGGGGACCTTTAATTTGTTTGTCCCATTTTTTTTTATTCATTGTACAGTACATGTTTTAGTTATTGGTTGTATCAGCAGCAATGTGATTGGGGAAGTTCAATGGCTAAATATTAAGAGTAGTGGCTTTTGGATACTATATATATTCCTAATGTAGGAACAAGACTTTTCTAATATAAACGTATGTACTGTGTCTTGATTTGTTGTCCTTTGATTTGCATTTTTCTAACCAAAATATAAACATGTCTTATTACAACTTTACTGAACTTTGACAAGACATTTCCAGTAAAACTGTTTTAAGATCATGATGCCAAGAAAATGTGCAAACACTCAAGGTATGTTCAGAGCACAATGTGGTAATTGTGATAATTGTGGATAGTTACGGGAATAGGTTGGAATCTTGTGTTACAGGTTGTCTCCATGTTGCTACAGGCACACACACACAGAGATACACACAGAGATACACACAAACATGTTTTACTTTTGGCCTATGTGTTGCTATTATTAATTGTCTAATGTATTCACTTGTACTCATTATGTCAAACAATCATCTGTCCCATTTAAACTGCATTTCTCGACTTCTGTTAGTCCTTTTTCTTAAGATATTACTTTTGATAGTCACCCAATGATTTTATATCAGCCATTATTCATATTTGTATGGTACAGTTGCTTTGTGTTTAATAACATGTATATTAATATACCTCTACTAGCTTAACAAAACAATGACTACTGTAAGTCAGGAAATTGTAAAGAAAAGTACGAGTTTTATAATTTAACCTACATTTCTGTCAGTTGCATAGTTAAGACTTTATAACTATTTTAAGCTTATTGTGTGAGTTCTTTAACTATATTTAGTTTTTAGAAAATCTTAAGAATCAGATGAAGTTATTACAACCATATAAGTGTGTTTTTTTATACAAATAAAATATTACCAAAGTGTACATTTTTCTATTCTGGGTAAACATTTGGTCCGTGCTAATTGTCCTTACCCACAATTCCATCTGGTTATGTGGGTGCTTTGCTGTTTTAAAATAAACACGAGTGAAAATCATGAATTTCAACTACACTGTTTTATAACTTTTCTGTGGTAGATCTACATTCTTTGACCGGGAAATCACACACACACACACACACACACACACACACACACACACACACACACACACACACACACACACACACACACACACACACACACACACACACACAGAAATGAAATCAAGACTAAGATCAGCAGCAGTTATTTGGTAATAGGAGGATAATACAAAGCGAGAGGGTGTAAGAGATTGCAGATTGTGTGCAGATAATTCTGTTAGATGCTAGATAACAGGAGGCCTCTGACTAAATGTTTGTCACGGCTAGGCAAACCAGTATGAACCCAAAAGCATGACTCGACAAACAAAGTACAAAAGAAAGTCTTTACTGAAAAAAGTAGCACTGTGAGCTCTCCGTAGCGGTAACAGGTTAAGGTAACAAAAAACACTCTTTCGAGGAAAAGGTTAACATAGTATCAAAAATGCAAAGGATAAAATAAATTCCAAAACTCGGTTCTTAGCTCTTAGCAGAAAAAACATGGACTTCACGCTGGCAGTCAGGCACATGGGACGAAACGAACTGGCAACAAGACAAGGGAGACAGAGGGTGTTTCTCAATCGCGAGTACGCTTGCTTGGTAGCACATGTCTGCCGAGCATCTTGCTTCAGAAGCGAGTCAAGAATACTTCCTGGCATTCGGAAAACGAAGTGTGGAACACGCTAGCAAGTGTGCAGGTGTGCGTCATATGAGAGGCCCCGCATTACATCTTCCGCCACAGATTTGGGGAAATTGGTCCGTGCGCAAAGCATTGTGGGGATTTTAAGACCGCGAAGTCTACTCATGTGCAGACTCGATATTTCTCCAAACGGAGTACGCCGGGCTCGGTAGATTTCCAAGTATACTGGAGATTGGAACAGTACTTCGGCGGCACTCAATGACGTAGTATGCTTGAAATAGTGGCTCTGAAGCAGCTTTACTCGCGATTGAGAAACACCCCCAATCTATATATAGGCAGGCTAAGGGGGAACAGGTGCAGACAATTAGGGCGGAGTCGACAATCACAGTGGAGGGAAAACACACAAAGGGAGGAAGTGAGGTAATCTGCAACAAGAAGGAAAGGTTACTACAAAATAAAACAGGATACAAGACTGAACTAAAAACATTAACTTAACAGATTTTACGAGACATAACAGTACCCCCCTTCTAGGGACGGCTCCTGACGGCCCAGGCACTTGTGGATGGCGTCGGTAGAAATCGTCAAAAAGATCCTGACCCACAACAAAACTTGATGGAACCCATGAGCGTTCTTCAGGCCCATAACCCTCCCAGTCAGAGACATAACAATGTTCTGCTTTGGTCAAAAAAGCTGCTCCATCCTCCTAGTTTGCGTCCTCTGCACATCACCTGATTCATTTCTGTGTTACCTATTAACTTTCCTCTTATTCCACTCCTGCTATGCTGCACCTGCTGCAATAACTCAAGGTAAAATCAAATATATATTCTTTATTGAACAGAAAGACCCCATTTTAATTTGTTTGTCCGTTAAAGAAAATTCACAATCACATTTTTTTATTTTATTGTACAGTACCTTTTTTAGTTATTGGTTGTATCAGCAGCAATGTGATTGGGGAAGTTCAATGGCTAAATATTAAGAGTAGTGGCCTTTGGATACTCTATATATTCCTAATGTAGGAACAAGACTTTTGTAATATAAACGTATGTATCTTAATTTGTTGTCATTTTATCTGCATTTTTCTAACTAAAATATAAACATATCTTATTACAACTTTGTTGAACTTTGACAAGACATTTCCAGTAAAACTGCTTTAAGATCATTTTGTTGCCAAGAAAATGCGCAAACACTCAAGGTATGTTCAGAACACAATGTGGTTATTGTGGAAAGTTACGGAAATAGGTTGGAAGTGAAAGATTATCTTGTGTAACAGGTTGTCTCCGTGTTGCTACATCTTAATTCTTTACCAGGGCGGTGTTGATTCTACAAACACACAAACACACACACACACACACACACACACACACACACACACACACACACACACACACACACACACACACACACACACACAAACACAGAGAGAGAGACACACAAAACACATACACACCACACACGCTCACACAAGTGTATGTGGAGTGTCCACAAATCTAAAGCATTCATGAATGGGAACATTTATTGATTGTTCATTGTGTTATTATGAGGGGTGTGTACAAGGAAGCAGCATTTTAAAATGTTGAGAGGAATGAGGTTGCAATGAGGGTATAAAACTCACTCAGATTCACTCTCCAGAACATCCTGACATAGACTTAAAGGTAAGATCTTAACATGATATCTAATGCAATATGCAGCACATTTGTATTTTACAGAAGAGTATGCAAGTTAATAGCAGCACAATAGAATTTGATTTTGTGCATGTGAACGACCATTTTCTGTCATCTCTTTTTATTTCTATCAGATGGAATTTGTGCTTCTCCTGCTGATGGTGACGGCATGTGCTGCAATAACTCAAGGTCAAATAAAATATATATTCTTTATTTAACAGAGGTATTACATAAGGGAATTTGAAAGTGAAGCACGTACTGTACACAGTATATTTTAAAGTAGTAGTCTG